TTTTATACTAACAGTCTGACAAGGTCGCAAGGTCTAAATATTTGATAGTAAATCGTGGAACGCGAATACTGTAAAAATTATAGGTGGATACTAGATACATCTGTATATATGTGTTATATAATTTATCGACGACAACATTGTGCGCGCGCAATCTCATTCGTTCCGTTATAATATACATTATTACATTATACATATACATTTACACACATAATATAATATTATCTACATGCGTTCTACTGCTCCGTAGCGGTCGGTTCTATAGGTATAACATACTTTGCTGTATATATCATCGTATATATATACCTATTCTATGTATATAGAATTGGTAAGGTTACCTTTAAGAGAGGAACCCATTATTATTATTATTTTCGTATCTGTATCAGAGCCATCCCATCCGTCCGGTTTTGTTCAATTATTTTTATGGGCAACCCGATAGCGGTATATAGGACAGAGAGAAGAAAAAAAATCATTTTTTCATCAATGCATCTTCCCTTTTGTATATTATCCTGATCGTCGACGCGCGTGCGTGTACTCAAGACTCCTGAGTAATAAATTCTTATTTATTACTGTTATTAATTAGTGTTTCATAGTCTGCCGTGGTCAATTTTTTTTCCAAATGATAACATATCATATGTAAATCACATGATTTTTTTTTGAAAATGGAGGAGTTATACAAATCAAAATTCTAAGGAGAAGTAAATATATAAATAACTGATATTTGATAATAGTTCTTAAAAGTGGATTTACAAAAATATGAAATAGTCTGAATTTACCTAATAATGGATCTAGTATTAATTACACCTGGAAAATGTTTACAAATGATAGAATGTTGACAGATAATTGTTAATATATTATTTGTATCTGATGAAATTCAATCCTCTAGTAGTCTAGTATACTTAAAATTTCCATAAATCTGAATTTGAAAAAATTCATTATTAAATTGAAAATTAGGATGAGCATAAAGATTATTATACTTAGTGAATATAGAGTATATATTTATATGTTATGTAAAATTATAGAAAAAATGTCATAGGTATATATAACTTTGTATTACGTTACTTTGATACGAAATCCGATCCCGTATCATCAATAACATTTTTGAAGCGGTGGCAACCCGCCGCCCATTGACGTCACTTTTTCCGAGGAATTGAAAAACATTTTTAAAAATTTACAATTATTTATCAAGTCTGACGTAATTTGTTAGCCAAGACATGACATTGCAATAATACAGTAATTTTAATGGAGCTGTGTAATAAAACAATTGAATGTATATACCTTATTTTAGACAGGCAGTTACGTTTATAGTATGCGTATACTATTATATTTTCCTTACCTATGTTTTTTCTTTTTTTTTCATTCAAAATATCATTTTCATTCCTTGTTATATGGAACGTTACTAAAACAGATTTTGTGGGATTCATTCAAACTGATTAAAGTATTTTAATTATTTTCTTAAAGTCTTGTTTTTATAATATTATTTAGTATATTAATTCACTACATAATATTATATTATACAGATATTATTTCTTTTCCTTGTTCAACATAATTTGTTTTATTTTTTTTACTATTATTTTTATAACTTTACGGTGTTTATTCAATAATCTTATACGTCCGTGTGTTAGTAGTTTGTATTGAGTTTTTTATGCCAATATAATAATTAAAACCGTCGTACTAACGTTTTATATTTTTACAGTATTTTCTCGAGTATGAGAATGTTTTATTATTTTTACTGTTGGTAAAAAAAACAATAACATGACTATTCAGACCGTAAATCTTATTTAATATCCCGTGGTTTTGGAAGTTATTTGATGATTGTACATAATATGTATTTAAACATTTTTTTGTGCTTCATATTAAATTAATTTTGACCATCAAAACTGTCCCTTTAAAATTATAATTTTTTAACCAATTCGTATTTATTAAAATCTCAAAATCTCATAGTAAATGTTGTAATCCGATAATTTACGAAATTCTAATTTTGTAGGTACTACATTAGTCATTGGGTAAAAAATATTTTTGGTTCCCAGATATTGTGAATTGTTATATTCTAACATAACCCAATATCAAGTTTAATTGCTCGTTCAAGTTACCTTGGTATACTAGTTACACATATGTTGTATTTAAATGAACTGTAAGTTTAGTTAAAAATAACAATGAACAATGAATTTTACAGTGACTGTTGTAAAACTAATTGAAGCCTGCTTAAAAAACAAATTCTATAAATGATAAAAATTATACATATATATTATATACAATAACAATAGGTACTGCAGAAACAATAATAACTATATTTTATTATTAATAATATTTTTTGTAGAAAAAATGTTGTAGAATTATGGTATTATATATGATACTTTTTTTGAATGAAAATGAGCTGTGGTAATTGATAGGTGTATGATGATCTATGCGCATTGGCATTTGCCCTCATTACTCGTGTGATGTGAAGAAAAATATCGGATTAATATAAACGCGGAACATAATATAACTCGATAAATACATGACATGACCTTTTTGTTATTTATAGTAAACTAAAAAAGTATTTGGTGCCTAGTCGTAAAACCCTTCAGGAAGAACTTTTTTAGATACCTAACCATGTATAAAATGTAAATAACCATTAAGAAAGACTTCACAGAATATTGTGAAAATAAAATCACAAATGATTAACTCAATAGCCTTATAATTTGAATTATCGAAACGAACAATTGCAAGCCAATGTTAGTAAAATGTATCTATAGGTTTATCTAATGGAGACTATTGCATTTATAGTTATAATCTAGGTACCGTTATATTATTTTAATTAACTTTCTAGTTTAATTGAAGTATGCCTAAAATAAGCCATGGTTATAATTTGTAATAAATTATTATTATTATGTAACAATAATTGAAACGGTTTGAAAAATTGATTTATGTCATACAGCAGTTTGAAGATCATAGTTCCTAAAAATACACTCGGTGTAGAAATCTAATTGATACGTATGTTTTACGACCATGTCCAAGAAATGCGTGGACGAAACGAATTTTGTACGTGTTAAGTTATTTTTAACTGTATAGTTATAGCGTGTTCTGATATTCTGACCGTTAGATAAAATATGCTAACTATTCAAAAGTTCCAGTGGCAGTCTGATTACCGTAGTTATTACGTTGATTCTAAGGCGTGGGACTGGACTACACACAAAATCCATAAGTTGTAAATAATTACTAAGTACATGTATAAGTGCAACAAAACCGAACGGATTATAATATTTTAATAGCTGCAAAGTTCTATAGTTTCAAATTGCCTACACTCTCGCAAATATGTGAAAAATTCTAAAATACCCGTACTAACTGGCTGTTTTGTATCTTTTGAAACTATAATTTGCAGGTTAATACTAATATTGCAATCATATCATTTTGTTAAAAATCGCCAAATCACTTATCCAAACATTTTACGTCTGTGCAAAAAACAATTCATCTTTACGAGCTGTCCTGTGGACGTATCTTTTTTTGAAGATGACTGATCAATGTGAAGTTTACCGGAATTGTGTCATTTTAGAGATGATGGTTTCAGATTTGGGTACCTAATGCTTTAGTAAAAACTAAAAACACAATGTTTAAACGATGTAACTTGTCGGTAATATAATTATAGCCTTTAGGGATCTACATAATATTTAATATATTACACTAGTCATCGTTTGACGTATATCAGAGGGTTGTGTTGTAGAGGCTCATCTATCGATTTAGACCGAACTTGAAGTGAGTGCATAATATATGTATTGGGAAATCTATTTAAATTTCCCGGTTAAATTATTAAATAATTATCATTGTCGGGTGGCTTCTATGATTTAAAAAACTTCTCGTTTGGACTTTTAAATCCTGGCCTACTTGTTTGGTTTTTGGTATTTTTAACTCGATATTTCTTCCAAATAATGAGACTGCTCTAAAATGTTAAATCATAGGGCGCAGCTATATTATTATATAGGTAGGTGGTTTAAAATAATAGAAATTAAAAACCCGAAGCAATAAATACCAAAACGATATAAAAATGTTGTAAAAAATAAGTTTTTTTTAGAAATCGCAAAAACACTCCGATAAATATTATATATAAGGGCAGTGCACTCATGATCAAACAGATCGCCTTTTACACATCTATAAAATTACATCACGTAGGCAGGGTAGTGCAACAATCGCAGTAGATACTTAATACTAGATATGTACTAGGTGTATAGGTGTCTATACCTATATGTTATTATTATTATTGTTATTATTTACTGTAATACCACAGTGGCGTCGTTGGTGGTTGGGTATTCAACCCCACCCCCGCCCGTGGAATATTTTTTTCACCGTATGTGAAAACTTAATAATATGTTCTTATAAGTTATAAACCACATAATATGAATATATTTTTATTTCGTCCCCCCCCCCCCTTGCTTTCAATTGGAAATTTCTGCGTGCGCCATTGTAGTACTTTAATAGGTACCATGTTTCAGTATACGCGTATACGGTATTATACGACGAACCACTCGTCGACGACAACCCATGTGCACATGGGACCGAGAGAAACTGCCGCCGGGTCTATATATAGAAACGCCACTATGGCGGTGTTGTACGATCGGAGTCAAACGTTCAACCCGTCGCCGTCACCGCCGCCAGTCGACGGCGACTCGGTACTTCCTCGGCCGTAGTAGTCTGTTCTGCCTGTCCCTCGCGTGCCCGCGTCCGATAGTTGTCCGTCCGATCCCTGTTCGATAAATCGCCAAACAAGAGATTCCCGACGGTCGTCGTCGTCGTCGTTGGTTTTTATTTTTATCGTTCACTCGTCCGATTGCTTGCCGGCCTCTTTTTTTCGTCCGTCCGACGTAATATCTCGCCGGCGATCCGTTTAATTACATCACGCAATTGGGTTTTATTACATTATATTTACGCGTACATCACAGACAGCGAGAGTGAGTGAGAGAGAGAGAGAGAGAGAGAGAGAGAGAGAGAGAGAGAGAGAGAGAGTGATAGTGATAGTGAGGTGACAGAGAGACGACCGGAGACCGTCAGCCAGCCAACACGCCCGTGCCCGTATATACGTACCGAGGAAACGACACTCCGCCACCGCCGCCTTTTGCGTGTCTAATACATTAATTGACAACGCCCTTAGTTAATCATTTCCTTCCTCTGGAGCACGCGACCTTTAACTCGTCTGCTGCTGCTACTACTATTATACACTGCTACCTACTCTCCGGTAATTGCATCATGTACACTGTACACATATATAATAATATTATAATATAATATCGTACACGCTGTGCCGTATTTTCGATCGAATAGCGGTAATAATATTATACCGTGGCGGGGTGCATGTGTACCGAGATCGGTGCGCGAATATTGACGTGTAATTTTCGGATAAACAAAAAATTGTTTCAACACGGCTACGATATCATACAACAGTGTAACGTCTGCTAAAATGTTATAACGGTTGATCGCTTTACATTTTTAATTATATTCCAATTCATGGTTTTAATAATTGATTTCATATTTTTAATCGGAATACTTTACTATGGAATATCGGCAGACAATACGGAACATGGAATAATAAATTGTGTGCATAGAGAGTGCAACATTGAGCTCTACAAAAGTGCGGTAAACGAAACGCCGAGATGTGCAGTTATTGTGACGAGGTGTAACGACTAACGATACAATAAGGTTTTTTAATCGACGGAAAAACAGGTGGAAAGTACTTTGGTATATACCGGCTATATTCGTTCCTATATATATATTATAAGCGCTTCAAGCAGCGCAGTGAAATCGAGAGTGACTTACACTATTACATAGTTTCGTATTGATTTGTCATTACGAAAATAGGTGTTTATTTTCTCACGAAAAACGGCGTCGAAGATGCGTCCCATGGCAACATATATTAATCTACAACTGAATAGTTTCTAAAGTCAAAAGTAACGTTTAAATATTTTTTGTGAAATCGCGTTTGTAATAATTTGGATTAGAGTTTTTTTGGTCTGGATATTTATAATTGACTGCACTTTATTATGATATCAAGCTATTTTGCATTATTTCAAAGTTTGTAAATACATGTAATTACATCAAATGTAAACATAATGTAATGATATGTTAAAGTTTTCATACTCACTGTTTCGGCGGACAATTTATAATCATATACTAGTCATGTTATAGGAATACCCCTATGGCCGGTTTTGCAATTTTTTTGGCACGTGATTGAGTAATACAAACAACTCAACTCAAAAGACCATATTATATAATATAATACACTAATATATAGTCGTGGTAATTTAAGCTCCGCTTTAGAATTTAAGGATATATTGTAGTATACACTAATCCTGCAGTTATTTCAAGGCAAAAACTTATAATATATCAACACGTTATTCAAAATTCAAAATTTTAGTCCTTTCTCGTACTAATGTTCGAAAGTCGATGATGAGTCGGAAATGGTTTATGGTTTCAAATAATGTGTAAAATGAACATTATTTGTTTTTGCTTCATATCCAAATGACGCAGTCGGTTCGTGAAATAATCTCGATTCGAATTGAAGGTCGTTGCACAAAAACATTTTACATTATATACAGTTACCTTGTGACTGTTTTGACACGCTGCGGCATCACGTATACATGTAGAAACGTCACTATATATTATATCATATTATAATAGTCTAACCGTAATTTCAAACACTGTTTCAGGTGCGGTATTATAACTGGCTTCGCGGCTTCAGGTATATACACGGGCATCATGACGGAGCGCCGTCATCGCCATTGAGGCCCATCGTCTTCTCCGCCGCTGTTGCAGTGTCGTGTCCAACACGCCGACGGTCGCGCCGACCGCCGAAGAATCGCATGACCGCCGTCGTCGTTGTCGTCGGCTGAACTGTACACGGCCGGGTTCGGCGAGCGATGACCACGACAGCAAACCACCGGGCCGCCACTGGAGGTAACATGGCTCCCGAACCGGAGGAAGACATCGCGGCCATCGCCAAACAGATATCGGACCACGCGGAGGCGATATACCAGACGTGGAAGGCCCGGGGCCTGGCGCCCAACGAGATACTGACGTGCCACCGCGATTCGTCTGCCGCGGCTGACAAGTTCGGCTCGGCGCTGACGCCGCAACCCAAACTACCGGCGGACGTGACGGGCCCGGCACACCATAACCGTGGCACGCAGCTGGTGGCTGACTCAAATAGCACCAATAATCTGGAACGGCTGGTGAACAAGTTCGTGGTGGAGGACAAGGCCCGGCTGCAGGCGGCCCGGCAGTCGCGTTCGCTGTCGCCCAAGCCGTTTGCATCGTCCATTCAGTACGCTCTGCAAAAGTTCGAACAGAAAGCTTCCTCGTCCACCGGCCCCGTCCCCGAGCACCTGCAGCCACAGCCACAGCAACAGCAACAGCAACTGCAGCAGCACGCTGCCGCCAGCAAGCAGAACGTCGGCGGAGGCGGTGCCGCCAAGAGGTACTGCAGCAAGTCGTCGGCGATGCGGAGCTATGCGGGGACACCGGTCGCAGACGAAAATAAGGGCGTGGATGGGCCTGTGTGGCCGTTCCGGAACGGCGGCAAACCTGCGGCGACCCAGTCGCAGCAAAACACCTGCGACTTTATGGATGAGGTGGCCAAAGAGGAACAGCGGCTGATCGACGCGCTCAAGAACGGGTCGGTGATCGAGAACAGGAAGACCGAAAAGCCGGCCGTGCCCAGCAAAGAGGGCGTCCTTTTGCGAACGGCCGCCGGAGGTTACGATGCGGCGGCGACCGGCCACCGTTCCAAGCCAGAGTTCCTCATCGGTCTGTCCGCGCTCAGCTCGTCCCGGCGGAACCAGCACGCGCACCGGCAACAGGAGCAGGTGCCGCATCCCGAGCTCACCGACCACCAGCGGGCTAACATCCGGTCCAATCACCACCAGTCCAACCCGGTTCGGCCGTTTTTAACACGTGGTTCAGTCGCCGAACGTGTGCTCATATTCGAAAAGTGTCCAACCGAATTGATGAAGAATTCTGGCGTCTGCAATTCTTCATCGGGTCAATCTTCGTGGAAGAACATCGGCTCGGATGTGCACAGCAAAATTCAAGTGAGTTAATTCATTAATTGTCAAATTAATCATATAAATGGTCCGTGTTCACCTCTCAAACAAAAATATTTCAAACTTTAATATTTCCGTATTTACTCGGTTGTATTTTAAATTTGGATTTTCAAAAACCATCATATGCGCACCACTTTGTTGCAATAGCTTACCAATCGCTTACTCGTTAGATTGTTTTGTGCAAATAGATGATGATAATATTTTCTATTTCATTCACTCCACATCACTGCAAAATATACTATTAAATTTGATGTTCAACTATTGTTGATATTTCGATAAAAAAAGTTTTAAAAACTGATTTGTATGCACTAAATTCGGAAACTAATGTATATCCCTCTCTCTCTCTATAGTCATATTTTTTTAATTCAACTGTTTTTTTTTTGCGAATTGCAGTAGTCATTTTTCTATAACAGTCTTGCCGTTATAGGTACTTACTTTACTTTTTACTTTATCTATATCATTATAACAATAATTTCAACATCGGTTAACTGAAATACCTACTTAAGTCTGGCGCTCAGCTTACGGATCGTGCAGGCTTGATGTCATAGCTATGACGCGACGTAGAAATTGAGAAGCTATTTTGAGAGTTCGCTGTACATCTCGGTGGAGTTTGCCTCGGAGGCGATCTTTATGCACGAGGCAAAGGTATCGCCGCGTGGCTGGTCACGTGCTCGTTCCCACGGCGTCGTATACCTACGAATATCCATATATTACATAGAACTGTTTTTTTATGACGCGTATGTCAATTAATTTAGTTTGTTTATTCGTTTTTATAAGTTAGGATGGTGTCGATGATGAGTTAGGTAACTTAAGTACACCCATAGCAACTTAATCCTGCATTCGGTTCGAAGTTATTCCGTCGAGATCCCGGCACCATTACGACAAATTTAGCTTTATATAAAAAGCGTAATACAGACATATACTATACAATAGGTACCTACTTACAGGCCCTTAACTATGGTTTTTTTTTAAGGGAGTGTTTCAATTTTATACTTTAATGTATTACTTGGGGGGGTGTCACTGCACACTCTGTTGTAGTAGTCTTCATAAGAATATGAAATATAATAGTCATATGATAAACTATTTATGACAACATATTTTTTAGATATCAATCTAATCATTTTTTATTTAAATACGGCTACGGCGGGGCGTGTAACAATATCCAAAGCGTCTCCCTGGCTGCTCCACTGCCTACTTACGGTGTGCACACCAGTGTATAATTGGTGCACATGGTGTGTAAAAACGGTGCATTCAGTATTGACGAATGCGCTTTTCTGCCCACCGCAGTTGTGTACGCTGCAAAACTTATAAGAATATGACATCACATTGTTGTGTTCACATTATGATATTATGTATATTATATCATCAACAACGTACCTACCTATCTACCTACCTACCTATTACATAGTATCCCGTCAATATAGAGTGAAAGCAAAAGAGCGAAACAAAAAGCGAGAATACACAATGAGCGTATAGTTTTTTTTCGATAATTTAAAATATTGTATGACTGTTGTTTGCTCTGGTCTTGTAATCCAACAACCTGGAAGTGTATAAAAGCTCTGCAAAAACATAAAACTTTTATACATTTCAATAACAAAAATGATTAGCGACAAACATTCAAGTTCAAACAAAAACAAGTTTACAAGAATTTATTTGAAAAACTTGCAAAAGTTGTAACGAATTAAATTCCAACGCCAATATTGGAATACCTATATTTAAAATTGATTGCCTATAATTTTTCGTTGCATGGCAAGTATAACACAAATATTTTTGATACTATTAAAAAAAAAAAAAAACACAAAATGGTAAATAATAATCATGTTTCGATTTTTTTTTTACATAATATTTTTATGATATATAGTTTGTGTTACATTTCATGGTCGGAATTTATTTTAGCTTTGTCATATTGTTCAGTGTATTTGTTTTTGCGTGTTCGCACTTTTGACACATAGAACCCTATTATATGATATAGGTACACGGTACACATCTCGACTACGATGTTACACGATGTACAGTATTCTACCTGTACTATACACGGCACTAGCTCGCGCGTACCTATATGCACGTATTTCGTATCGCAGCAGGTTGACGGATAATGGACGCCGTCGGATTCTGTCGCCGTGGAGTTAATAAGTGGGTTTTCATTTTTCATCACATAATATTATAACAGAGCGGGCAATCGAGCCTTAGATGTTGGCGTTTAACGTGCGGCGGCGGAGGGGGAATGTTGCAAAGCAGGTTTTTTTTATATTTTACTATTTCATTTTACAAAGTCACAAGTGAATGTGTTCCACAGTCGCTGGGTCAACATGTGTTCGGTTTAATAATAGTAATAATACATCGTCATAATAATAATAATAATAATAATAATAATAATATAATAATATAATAACGCCGCCGCCGCTACAGTCGGACGCGTCAACGCGTCGCGCGCTAACCGCTGCAGAACCGGAGTGGTGCGGCCTTCGTCGCGCACAATAATAATAATAATAATAATAACAGTGTTATGATAATAACGATGCGAGTTTGGCGAGTGGAAAAAAGTCGTCCGGTCAGATGTTCGCTTACGGCTTTTGTGTCGCGACCTCCGCTCGACGCGGTCTCGCCGTCGCGCGTACGCTCTGTACTGCAATAATACATTAATACGGCACAGTATTATTGTACGCTGGTGCGTTATCGCGACCGACATCGGTTTACCGCGTTTTTTATTAATTTGTTTTTATTCGGCATTTCGCTTGTTGTTCTTCTCTTTTAATTGTTCACTAAGGTCGTTTCGTTTTCGTATATCCGCGTAAATTATACGCCGCGGTGGTGCCGTTTCGCGCGTGGGCTCGCCATTCCGCGCAGTCCGCCGCGGTCGACCGACGACGGCGACGATATAATAATACAACACTCGTTTGTGCGATATCGTCGTCGTCGTGTGTACTTACGCCGCTCAAACGCGCGTACCGTCCGCTTGACTTACGACCCCGTCCCCCCTCCCAAATGCGCCTCCCGCCGTCCGCTTGACTTTTGCAGTATGCACCGGACGTGCATCCGCCGCCGCGGTGTGAAATATGTCGTCGGGACACTATGGTGACGAGCGTACGGTCTTGGTGCTACGCCTGTCAGGTGCTAGTGTTGCAAAGGCACCACGACGGTTCTGGTGTCGGGGATGATGGTCCGGTTCACGAGCCCAGGTTTCCGTACAAACCCTGGAAACGGCGATTGCCCAGGTCTTACAACAAGGTTGGTGATACCGCATATGGTATACATGGTATTCGGTGCATATCCTAATATGTATATAGGACATATAGGCACGCGAGCCATATAAATCGAATATCGTTTTATTTAGCTCTCCCGCAATACGATATCCTTCCAACTTGTATACACTCGGAAGGCAGTAACTTTTAATAATAATAATAGTCATAATAGATAATAGATAATAATATAATTTAACGCCCACGAATCGTTTACGGAGGTTTGTTTTTTTTCGTGTGTATTCAATTATCCGTGTTCCCTCTCCTCCAGTCCATTTAAATTGTACAGTTGTCAACGAATGCGACCGGAACATTAAGGTCCTACGTGTTTTGGACATATTATTATGTACTTAATACTCGTATAACGACACAGCTGCCCGACAGTGGTCGTGTCCGTTATACAGAGTGATCCATGATCCTGTCTTTGTCCTCGTACATATCCGCCCGCCCGCCTACTATATGGATAACAAAAAATATATATATATATATAAAATAGGCGTAAACTTATATGCCCGCCTCCACGCTTGTAACTATATAGGTACATGATAATATAACGTGGTATGTATTATACATCATCAAACATTATACCTATGTTTAAACGCTGGACGGGAATTAACACAGGTCGACTGTTGGCCTAACTATACATAATATATATACCTAATATACTTATACCTATACGTTTGGGTATAAGAGGAACAAAGATTTCGTTTAAAGCTTGGAAAAACCGCGAAAGTTATCGGTGGCGGATCAAATACAGACCGTTGTATTACGATATAATAACATACATTTTCGTACGAAATTCGTGTGTTTCGAGGGGACGAAAGAATCGTTTAGCTGTGTGTAATTAATGTGCAACATCATAAAATAGCGATCTAATCCAATCTGCAGGCTGGATAAGTAATATTGTACGAGTATAATACGTATATAGATAGACAGGCCTCGGCTGCACTGTTTGTTTTGCCTGCAAAAAGGGTGCGGACGTATTACGAATAGGCACAAACAATTTAGATTTCATGGTCACATTACGGCGGCTACCTTCATCGTTGCGATTACGTTCCTACCTATTTGATGCATACATAATATAGGTAACTATATATACAATACAATACGTGCACTGCAGCTGCAGCTGTTTACGTCATTTTGGAATCAAACAAAATGTCCAAACGCCTTTGCGTCAAATGTGCTACATTTGTGTATTACGCGGCCTCCCCGACGGGGAGGTGGTTTTTATTTTTCGAATTCCGTTCATTCGTTTGTAATGTATATCATATAATATAATTATTGTCGTTCCAATCGTCATTGTATACCCATGAGATACGCACAATACATGCGCATTGCACATACAGCACATTGCACATACAGATACTTATACAGACTACAACAACTCGTATATATTATTATTATGATCTGAGTTTATATTTCAATGGCATTGGAATAAAATAATATGCTTTCCTTAAATGCCGGGTTTTGCGGAGAGACCCATACAAACAAAAATAAAGAATTATACGTTTCGACGTCTTTCGCTACTATTTCGATATCGTGTGAAAATCGAGTTTTGTTCGTCTCAACTCCTGGGCATGCGTTCTTTTCGTGTATTCAGTATTGTGTTTACCATGTTACTATAATATGTATTACTTTTTATTACCATAATTTTTCGAATACGGCTCTACGCGACTGTCCGCGTAGGTACCTATATAATATGTTATTGAGTAATCGGCGGATTATGTAAAACGAAATCCTGCCGCGTCTTTAGGTCACGTACAAGATCGTTTTTAAAATAATTGATAATGGACCTCCCCTCTCAACTGGCAAGTATTGCAGACGCACGACACCCGGTTCTTATATGCATCTGAATAAATCTATATACCTATATATATATAATGTGTGTATTATTATGTACATATTATAATTATTATTATGAATTCAACGCGTGCAGGACGGAGTCTTCGCGTAATAATAATATAATCAACATATTATGGACGCAGTGGCGTCGTGAGCTTGTTTTTCGGTGGCAGTAATATGTTGTCCCTCGTAATGCTCATAGTCGGAGATCGTGAGTTGTTATCTCGGTTAAAGTATATAATATATATTACGAGATATATTATTATGTAAATAACTTATAATTCAGATTTATAATATATATATATATATATACGACGATACGTTATCGTTCCGATTCGTGTTGTATAAAATTATATGTATATCATTCTAAAAAAATTAATGTCAATACATATATTTTTTAAAATAAATTTGCTTACAAAATTGTTACGTCCAAGGACGAGTTGACCAGGAAGGTGATGTGGAAATTCGCTGTCGTTTTCATAAATTGGGGCCGATATTTTGGTGACATTTAGTAATAAATAATAATACTAGATAACAGGGTCAATTATTCCAGCTTCCTGGGACAGTGAAGTCCATTTATAGTCCCAAATCCCAATCCTTCTCTGCCTGGTAGAACGCAAGTCGTGGGGAGGATGAAAGGAAGGATTTGTTTTCTCCAAACGATTTTAATGGAAAGGATCTTGTTAATAATCGATATTATCGTTTCAGAACTACTCGAAGGAAACCAATCAGAAACCTGGAGGTCCTCCACCGCACACTACGTTACAAAGACATACAAAGGCTAATCGTAACGTATTCATTCCTAGGTAAGATAACTTGTGTCGTAACTACGCACGATATTATAGTATAGGAGGTGTATTGAATTCGATTATTTGTTTTAGATTCTACTATCCATTTGGCAAACCCGAGAGTCAACAGCAGTGGGATACGATTGTCAAAACAATCACAGATTTCTTCATGTCGTTGCCGAATTCGCAAGCTTCGAAACATCATTTCGGTCAAATCGCAAAGGTAATCATGACTTAAATCATTATAATTTTTTATACGATATTTCAATATTGTCGTTTTTGTGCGTGTTACAGTTATGTAATTGCCCACTTTATTGGAAGCAACCTCTGTTCTTTGCCTGTGGCGGGGACTTGTCCAGTACCATAGACGTAAATACCTTCCTTAATTATTGGAAAGAGTAAGTTCATTGTAGTCATTATTATTATTCAACACTCATAAATCATAATACTATAAATCGATTTTTTTCAGCGTGTGGTCTTCTTGTCACGACTTGCCATCAATATTCATACGCATATTGGCAAGAAACTCAAAAAAACAAACATTATCACCTGAAAACTTCATCTTATTAGTCCAAGATGTGGTCGATTCGCATCCCGGCTTAACATTCCTGAAAACTGCGCCAGAGTTCCATTCTAGATATGTGCACACGGTAATTATTTAAACATTATACAACAAATTTATTGTATGCCTAAACAAATCAAAATTTGTAAAAAGTTACTTTTTGTTTGCAATTCAATTTTAAATGGTATGTATGTGTATAATAGTAGTATATGTATACACATAGATGCAAATAAATAACTATTTAAATAATTTCTGGATAGAAATATATATATATGCAATAAACTCTGTCTTTTATTATTTTTCACTCAAAATACATGTTGTGGTTTAAAATTTGGGCTTACAATATTTCTATTGAGCCATTAATAAAAATTTGTATTATCAATAAGTATTTAACTTACTAATGTTTTAAATGCTTACTAAAAAACTATTTGAATACAATTTCTCAAATTTACAAGACTTACTACAAATTGACTAATACTATACATTTTTGTACATTTTAAATCCCAGGTAATATCAAGGATATTCTACAATGTTAACACATCCTGGAGCGGCGATCTTAGTCTAGCAGAAATCAGACGATCAGATCTAATGCGAGTCATTGACCTATTAGAGAAAGAAGAAGACATCAACCAAGTGACTGCTTACTTCAGTTATGAACATTTCTATGTCATATACTGTAAGTTCTGGGAGCTGGATCGAGACCATGATTTATTTATTAGCAAAACCGATTTAGCCAGACACAGTGATCATGGTTAGTTTGATGTGCATAGAAATTCTGTAGATATTATAAATTATTTCACCTGCTATGATTTTCTAATATGACATATACAATTTTTGATAGCTTTGTCCACAAGAATAATTGACAGAATATTTTCTGGGACTGTTACTAAGAGAAAACAAAAGAATTCTAATAATAATAATTATATAGAAGAAAAAATGAGTTACACTGAATTTGTTTGGTTCCTAATGGCTGAAGAAGACAAACGACATCCTAGAGCAGTTGAATATTGGTTTAGGTAAGATAACATAGAAGTTGAACATGTTAATGCCATAATACACATCATTTGAATGTATATAACCTATTCTAGATGCATGGATATTGACGGTGATGGTTATTTGTCTATGTACGAGCTTGAATATTTCTACGATGAGCAATTGCAAAGAATGGAAAGCATAGGAATTGAATGTCTACCATTCGAGGACTGTTTGTGCCAGGTATACAATTTAAATACATATTATTATGAACAACTCTTTTAAATGCAGTTGCTCATGCCATTGTCATTATTATAAATTAATTTAGATGCTTGACATGGTCAAACCGAAGTGCTATGGCAAAATATCATTGGCTGATCTCAAAACATGTAAAATGACTCCAATATTTTTTGATACATTCTTTAACCTTGAAAAATATCTGGATCATGAACAGCGTGATCCATTTGCTTCACAGAGGGATAATGAAAATGAAGTAAGTAAAATATAATTTTTATATTTTTAGTGTCATTTGTTGTGTATTTATATGGTAATGTAAAATTTCAAGCATAACGAAAATGGAAATAAATATTATAAGGTCAGTTATCTTAATCTTTTTAGTTTGTTGAGTTGTTAGGTTAACTCTTTTAATTTTAAGGCTTCAACTGCTTGGTTATTAGCCAGTTTTTTTACTGTAAGAGGGTTACGGTTGGTTTGGAATTTGTGTATATGGGGCGAAGGTTTGTAACTAAAAACCCGGATGGTCACCCAACAACACCAGCCGATGCTTGACCTCAGAACACATAAATGACTGAGGTCAACCACCGAGCCACACCAGGCCTTGCTATATCTTTTTTTTGTTGTTATTTATAATATTATAGTCTAATGTGCAATAAGTTTATGAGTTGTTTTGTTGTTTCAGGCATCAGACTGGGATAAATATGCTGCTGAAGAATATGAAATGTTAGTAGCTGAGGAAGGTGGAAATGATGCACCAGAAGAAATGTAAGTATTTCATATTTATTACACTTAAGGGCCCAATGGATTCTTTACGGAAATCTAGACATTGTTTTCAACTTTCATCACCACCTAAATATTATAAATATAAAAAAAAAAAAATTGGTGGTAATATTATTACAGAATAACAGACGAAGACATTTGAAGGAAGAAGTATGTATGACAGTGGTAAGTGTCTGTGGTCTGTTTGTGCCGTCCTCCACTGTTGTTTAGCACAATCCTATAATTTTGTAACACACCCTATAACTAGATCATTCCTTACAATTGTTTTTTTTTTTTTTTGTATAACCACTGTAGCTCTAATCACCTCACCGTAATAACACCATTTTAAACTGTTGTGTTTTATTCTTCTGTATTATAGTTCTAAATAATTGTAGTTATAATAGCATTAATAAAAAATAATTTTTTTTTAGAAATGGAACTGATATTGAAGATATCCTGTCACCTAATTTGGATGATGTATTGAAATCATGTACGTTTAATAAAATATCGAATCAGCCTAGAGTTTTGGTCACTGATTTCTCTTCACCGTCTACTATGTATGATGATAATGATTCATCCGACTATGCTGGCGATAGTGATGATGATATTTAATTTATATACACAATAATATATAATAATACATAATAATAAGTTATGAATAAAAGTAATAATAATAATAATAATAGTAATAATAATTGTAGTAATAATTATAGTAACACAACCACGTTATTTCTTTGTGACAATGGGAATTGCTGACATTATTATACCAAAGAATATAGTTGCTCATATTGTCCTCTTGTTCCCATGTTTTTCTTCTGTTGTTTACTTGAACTTTAAAATTCATAATTTTTGACAAAATGTTACATAACATTAATTTATGTGAGTGTTTTTGTTAGTAGGCTATAGCCTGAATATGGTCATTATTATTTTGTTTTATTTATGAAAGATTAATCGTTGTTGTTTTCAAAAATGTATAAAGCATTATAAAAGGTGTCTAAAATTGCACCATGTACCAGATTTTATATTTGTCATTATTATAATTTTTTTGTATGAAATTTATAAATTGTACATAATTAATTCAATTTTTGACTAGTTAAATTAATTTTAAACGCAAGTAGTATATTTATAATGATGTAAAATATTATAAAAAAAAACCAAAATATCTGTTAAATATGTTATACAAATCTTATTGATATAGTTAATGGTTGTGTCTGTTCTGTTATAAAAAAAAAAACAAATTATTAACATAGTCTAGTCGAAAATAGAACGTTATTATAGTATGTACTAATAATAATGACATTATTTATTAATTGCATATTTTTAAAAACAAAATCGTATGAAATATTAAAATCTAATTTTCCCTTTCTATTATAATGTGTTTTATTATGAAAGTTAAAAAACCTAATCTATCATACTTGTATGTACTTATATATTTTAATCTAGTATTAAATTGGCTATGCTGTATATTAAATTTGTAGTGTTTTGACACAACTCATCTTAAGTGATATTTTTCCGTATTTTTAATCTTCTAATCAATTACCAGTGATTTTTTTCAATAGTTAAAAAAAAACTTATCATATATTTTTTTTAATTATCCTTTATGACCTTTAAATAGATCTACAACTTATTATTATCATACATTTATATAATTTTAAGTATGTGTACAGTACAACTACAACATTATTCAACAATATTCTTACCTAATTAAAAAATTAAACAATGTAGGTATAATTCCTATAATTTTTTATACCTATTTAAAATTATTATTTGACAGTTTAAGTGATTTGTTTTTGACATTAACTCACTAGTTGCACAATTGCACCGTAGATAACGCTTACCCAACTTTCCCATGTGTGTTACACAATTACTTAAAGTTGTCTTCTTTCAATATTATACATCTTAATATTAATTATTAAACATGTTTTTATGTGTTGTAAAATTTTGTAAGTAATTTTATGGTTGTTTATCTGTTAATAGAGATAAATAAAAATTAACAAAATGTTATTTTTAAGCGTTTAAACCCTGTTTTAATGCTTTTTCTTCTATTTGGCATATTTGATTACCAAAACATACACATCTCTAGTTTATATTTATTATAAATTATAATGTTTCAGCACAAGTAATAAGGTATGTTACAACTGACATACTAATTTATATTTGTGTATATCACTTTAAACCTAACATAATCATTTATATATTTAATAATAATATTGAAGTCAAACGTGTTATATAGTCAATAGAGTTATACTGCTCCCAGACTTGTCAAGAACTGCCTCTGAAATAGATGGTTTGAAAAAATCTATACCTAAATCTGAAAACGAATTAGTTGCTTCTAAACATATTTGTTTTATTTAAGTATTTTATTCCATGTAATTGTTTTCATTTACTTGATTATATTTAATAGAAATATTGGGGTGATCTAGAATAAGGTCCTGTCTTGGCGGACTTAAGATTGAAAGCATAGTTGGCAATAAGCCAATAATAAGAGAGATAATGTGTGCTGTAATGCCGTGACCACCATGGTGATAATTTCATACATCGGATACCTAACCGTGAATGTGACATAACTACCTTTTACAAAACCTTTTCTTTGATATTTAGGTGGTTCTTGGAACAAATTATAGGACAACTCCGGGTGAATATAAGTTCCCATACCATACACAGCAGGGAAAAATAAATCATTATATTTAAGTAAGTTCATACATGAAAAGTACAGCCCTGTGTAGTGTAACCTTTCATGACAAAAATAGATCAGTCAGTGTGTAAGTTTCTACACGAATAAAAACTTCAATAATGTTACTTTTACTTTTTTTTCATCCAAAAATAAAATAATTTTTTTTACAAATTATTCGATACTTACTGTCTACTGAATTAAGGGCATAATTACAAAAAAAATGTATTGCTTAATGTTTTCTTAAACTATTTTTTAATTTTGATAATATTTCGTATTGATGCATAATTAAAGTATTGTTTTTGCCACCACCTTATATTTACCAGTACCTACACCTACTTCAATCTTCAACTTGACTCAAATGCTAATAGCAATAATATTTTATATACTATAGTATAAATATATAGTATTATAATTTATAATAATAAATTAGTAGAATGATAAATTCGATTTTTTCATCAACAATTTATTCAACCTGCCATGAACCTAAAAGTAAGAAAAATACTATAATAGCAGTTTAAATGTAAGCAGAAAGACTAAGGCAATATCTTTATTACACTATAACTTTTGATTTTTCGCTTAAAATATATAGCTCTACCACTGTTCTATCAATTTAGGTATTATTTAAAAAAAAGTTTATTTCTGTAAGAAGTTAATAAAAACTAATTTTTTTAGGGTAGGTAACCAAACACACACCAAATGTAGTAAACGTTATAAAAAACGTTATAACTAGGGAACTAACTTTATAGCAATAAACAAATAAAAACAAATGTGTGTACGGATACAAACAAGACAGAAGACACAGATCATTGTAAAATCAATTCATTCATCATCGTTCTGCTTTTAGAAATTGGATGTTCAAACGAAATTTTGAAAATTATAAAATAAATATTTGGTTAGAATATTAAATATTTAAATATCTATGGTTATTCGTTTTTGAGGTACAACAAAATATAAAAAATTCTCATGTATACAATTGCAAGTACAATAACTATTGTCAAAATTATCGTTATTCAATTTTTACTTATTTTCAAAGTAATTTTTTTAAAAAAATTTCAAATTAATTGTGCGTAGGTCTTATTCCATAAGTGATATATTTACATATTATGCATTGTTCATTCGGTTATTAATTATTGTTATTTATTTGTATTTAATTAATTATTCGAAGGTTCTGTCACTGGACAGCTTCCCTCCTCATATATATTGTCATGTAAATATTATTTTCCATAATATCATATTATATTCTATTTGATTATTGAACACATGCTACAGATTGTAAATTCTCTATTTTAAATAAATACAAAATTAATAATTGAGGTAATTACGGCCAACCATTAATAGATGGAAAACACTTACCTACTCGGCAAAATCATAAATTAAAATTTGATTAAGATATTCTTGTATTTATATTTTAGGTAAATAAAAGTAGTGTTATAATTTCAATTTTTCAAATTATACAAGTATTAAATGTTGCCAATATTGCACAATTAATTAATATTGAATATTTGAATATATACTATTTAAGTCAGTATAGAGCAATTTTATTATTATAATTTAGAACAACTGACTACCAAACTGTTCGATTTCTTATGGTAAGATGATATACAAACGTAATAAAATAATAAACAGCTCCAATTTTTTTTTCACATTGCGATTTTAAATTTTTAACCATTGTCAAATAATCACTGTTTGGTCATGATATTGAAGTTATAATGTAGGCACCTATTGTTTTATTTGATATGTTCCTGCAAACAAGGGGGACTAGACTTACCTACAATAAATGTATTTTATTTTAATATTCAATGTCACGGAAAAATATAACTGTCAGTCGCATCATAACCATAACTTACAACTCGAAAACAAGACTTTGAAGTAGGTACCTACTGGCTACCTACCATGTGTGCATAGACAGGCGTGAACCATTAATGATGAATGATGATGAATGATTATTTTTTAATGTTTTATGTGAATATGATATTCTAGATTACCTACATATTAATATATTATATCAAATATATGATACTACACTTAACAAACGTAAAAACCTAAATTATTTTTCATAATAATTGGTTTACCTAAGTCATATCTAATCTAGAACGTTTAAGCCTTTAAGGAATAGTAATCGTTAAATATTTGCAAATAGTTTAGTTAGTAAAATGTAAGTGTTTATTAGGTTATGGATAGAAAGTCGTGTTTCATAATATTTTATATTTATAATTTTGATTTTGAGGATAAAGAGTATTGTGCAAATTTCCAAACTAGGTTGACAATTTCATCTAATTGGTGACTGAGGTATCAAAATATAAAACATTTTCAACAAATTAATTTAATTTCCAATTAGGGGTTGGCGAAATCTGTAGTTTGCCATTTTGTCATTTTCTTGTGATATTTGTGGTGGAACAATATTGTCGACCTAACTTCATAACTAGGCTGGAAAACATACGGGTATGGTAGGTTAAGATATGTCAAAATGTACTAGAAAAGGGAATAATCTGAGCACTCAAAAATATCTTGAATTAAATCTATACCCAAGTACAATTTCAGCTTACTTGTTTGGCTATACAAAATAAATTAAATAATTGGCTTTTTTAACATCCCTGTGAAGACAATGTGCTGAACCTAAATCACTTAAAATTACGACCATAATTAAAGATAATAAATAATAATAATATAATTATAATTTACTACTCACTTTTCGAAGCCGAGTGCCGAGTAGGACTGGAAGTCATAGCCAACAGCTTACAGCACCGCCATCTATCAGAGTAGTTTGGGATTTTTACGCACGTGCGTTTAGGACCACTGTTTAATTTCATCGCTAGTTGGCGCCATTGTATGGTTTTTTTTTAAACACTACATTATCAAAATAATAATATTATTTCTATTATGTGTCATGTGTGTCCAGTAAATTTTACTACGAATAACTGAATAACCCATTAAAATATGGTCGCTAGTCTTGCAACTGCGACATTTACGACATGTTGTGCAATAGGAACATTTGAAGAAAATTTCAATTATACCTTATTCATTTTTGAGTTACACCGAAAAAACAAAATTGATTTTATCAAAAACTGGATTTTTCTCAAATTTAAAAAGTTATTTTGGAAAATCATAGGACATTTTTACTTTTGGTTCCCCCCTCCATCCAAAGTGCCAACTAGATTCAATTTGTTACCAGAACCAGCATATCAAAGTTAAGAGGACGTGATACCCGCATGTGTTGTCTCCGTCTTACAAGTGCGTAACATAGCAAATGTACACTTCAGCACAACACGTGTAGCTCCGTTAATTTAAAAATTAAAGTGAATTGACCTCTTATAAAATCTGAAGGTAAGATTATTATCTAGGCAACCTCATAGGCTTTTTATTATATTTTTATTTTAACGCGAGTTATAAGTATTTTAAGATGTATAAAAAATTTACAATTTTTAAAATACTCATAACTCGGGTTAAAATTAAAATATAGTAAAAAATCTATGAGGTTGACTAGATAATAATCTTACCTTTAGATTTTATTAGAGGTCAATTTGCACTAATTTTTAAACTAACGGAGCTACACGTGTTCTGCTGAGCGTAAAATATGCTATGCTACGCACTTGTAAGACAGAGACAACACATGCAGGTATCAAGTCCTCTTAATTATCCAAGCATCTTTTCTACTAAAAAAAGTATCTTCAGACAAAAAAAACACACCATTGTAAACACAATACATTCGTCGCCCCACACAGAATCTAAAGCGATGTAATAGATGAAACGAAAAATTTGTTATGGAATAGTATGGATGGTTTAATGATCTTAAAATTAAAATTCAGCATACAAATTATACATATATATATATATATGTATTATATAAAATAATATGTTTTAAATGTTTTCATAAGATCCAAAATCATTTTTAAGAATAAAATTGTACCTAATATATTACGTTTTAAAACAATTTAATTTAAATTATGATTGCAATAGAACATATTTTAAAGTAGGCGCTTTGAATCATGATATAAAACTTCTTGCGAATTTTCACAATGTGTTAATAATTCATTGTATGGTACGGCTAGTATAATATAGGCCTTAAAAGTATAAATATATCGTATAACTACTGTTCGTACCTATTTAAAGTATTGAAAACATTTTATTTTTATTTTTAACTACCAAATACAGTCAGTATCGTCTATACTCTATAGCCACGGTCAAGGGACCATAAAAAACACGTCGTTATAACCAGATGTCGTTGTATATAATATGTACAAATAAATAAACGGGATTATGTGAGGACCTTGAAATTAATGTCGTTATGACCGGCGCTGTTGTAGATGGTGCGGACTGTATTATTGTATTAAAACTATAACAATTTTAAGAATCGTATAGTAAAAAAGTTAAAATAAAAAAATTAATTTAAAATTGACAGGATTTATAATAGTTGGATTTAGGTATTGTTCTGTACTTAAAGTCTTTGAATTTTACGTATTATAAAATAAATATCGTATTAGAATGCAAGTATAATTGTATAATTAGAAATATATATAATTATGTACATTTAGTGTACTTTTAGTTGGAAAATATTAACACATATAATAAATAATAATTTACAATTTACCTAGGTACAATAATAATTATAACAATGTATAATACATCTAGTTATGATAAATTAAAATTAAAATAATTAAAATTTGATGTTTATAACAATTTATTACAAATTGGCTCGTGTTATAAATTTTATTTTAATATTATGATTACCGTGCGTAGGCACCTCTGCGACACTGCGGTGGCTAAGGCGAAGGAGTAGATGCCTAAAGTAAGTGTGCAAAACGGCTGCGAGTCGATGGAACGGGGTAATACATTTTAGCGGTTGAAGGTCGCAGAGGCTATATCATCATCATAATAATAATAATAATAATAATAATATAATATAATGGTTGCGAAACCTTTGGATGAGCATTCTGACGACCGGTTTTCGACGCAAGAAGACCACAAAAAATAACATGTACACAGACGAAAAAAATTATGTATAATACGGTTTGAAAAATATCTAGTACATAACGAGTACCTGAACACACACACACGGGTTTTTTTTTTAGTAAAAAAAACTTGGAACGGAGATTGAAAAATTGTCGTTAGGAGGGGCTTGTCGTGTTCAGGTGTCTCTTAAAAATTCTCCCATCCCGGATTACTGGTTTTTGACAATAATTATTGCTGGATACCGTCCAATACATTGTAGCGCCCGCGCGTGTAGCCGTGCAGGTATATATAGTAAAGGCCGGCGTTCAGTAAAGTATCCAGTCAATTGGTAGCTGTAGGGTTGAACAGTACCAACTCGGCAGACGCAACAAGCATTATGGCTTCCAGTGCTATGGTGAGTACGACCACGACATTATTGTTGTTATATCATATTTCTATAGTCAAACGACTACTGCTGTTTCTCACCATTAAAAATCTAACTATAAAATATAAGATTACGTTAACAAGCTTTTAATTTTATTTATTAAAAAATGTATATAATAATATAACACACGGTTGTCTTATATCCTGCAGATAGCCGTGATATGTGCTTAGTAGTCAGTAAAGATTGGTATCCGATAGTATTCCTTAATTTATATAATTGGTGAATCTTAAGTTTAAATATAATCTTGATTTTTACAATTAATTTTATTTTTACTTTAATTTTTTTTTCATAATATGTAAATATGTCACAATGCCAGTAGAAATTTATTTTTCAAAACAAAAAAAACTTTTACTATTAAACTAGTGCTATTATCTATACTATATTGTTCACCTAGCGTTTAATGTATGTTCCCATATTATTGTTATTAAAACATGTAAGCATACTCTTTACAAATGTAATATTTAGGAATACAATACCAATATTTATACGCTTTTTGAGTTGTAGGAACTAAGTGCATTAAAAATATTTTAACTTGTTATTTTATTAATTTGTAAATTATAATTTTATGTTTGAAATACTGATTCCATTGATATTTATGATATAGATTTATATACGACATAGGTACGAATAATAATCAATAAACTTGTCAAACTATAAATTAGTAATTAAAAATACAAACGTTATTTAAGTTACGATTGACTGAAAAATATTTAATATTTTAATGATATGGCTTACATTATTTCGGTTTCTGGTTAACATGTCGGGACGTTTAAAAATGTATACACAAGGTCTTAATGAAATTTATTTTAGTATACGAAGTCTATATATTATAAGTATTGGGTTAGTTCAATCACAGATATAATATTATACAAGTCACAAAATACGTGATATACCTAACAATAGAATGGCATTAGTTGAACACAGAATTATATTTATTATATCTGTTAAAATTTTCCCTAACTTCGATATAAATTACATAACTATAAAAATATAAAACTAGAAATAATTAATTTAAAAATTTTATTTTTTTTTTTAGATCCAAATAGCTCTACTAGGACTCCTAGTTGTGTCCACCGCATTTGCTGACACCAAGCCGGCAGATAAGAACGAGAAGAAAAGGGACACCTTATTCAACCCATTCACATTTGGAGCCAAGACTTTTGGCTCATCAACCCCAGCTCCATTTTTGTTTGGTAGCTCATTCTCGTCGACTGCAGCACCATTCAGATCCGTTTCTTACAGCTCCACACCAGCTCCGTTCGCATTCGGTAACTCTTTTGCATCAAATGCCTACTCCAACGCAGCGGCAGCTCAATCTTCCGATGGAGCATTATTCATTGGATCTTCCACACCTGCTCCATTCTACGATGGATCATTCGGTTCTTCCACCCCAGCTGCTCTAATTGGTTCATCTACACCCGCACCTTTCATATCTGGTGCCGCAGTGTCCAGTGCCGCACTATCGGACGCAAGCTTCGCGTATTCTTCCACCCCAGCTTCACTTTTAGTTGGAGGAGCTTCGCCCGTTGTTTCGTCTACTCCGGAAGCGGTTGTTTTGAATAGATCACCGGCTTTTGCTACATCATACGGTTCATACTATTCAGGAGCTTACGCCCCGTCGTTCTCTCAAGGCGCAATCGTCAAGTCTGACGCAATCAGCCACGATGCAGTTGAAATACCAGCAGTAGCTAACGCCCCTGCACCTCATCACGAAGTTACCATCACCAAAGAAGTTCCAGTTCCATACTACGTCCAAGTTGAAAAGAGAGTCCCATACCCCGTTGTCGTTCGTGTTCCACATCCATACCAAGTTACTGTAGAAAAACACGTGCCATACGCCGTACATGTCAATGTAGACCGTCCAGTTCACGTTCCTCAACCATACCCAGTCGAAGTTGAGAAGAGAGTGCCATACCCAGTAGAAAAGCCAGTACCTTATGAAGTGAAGGTCCCAGTCGACAGGCCGTACGCAGTTCCAGTTCCAGTTGAGAAACCCGTCCCATACGCGGTTGAAAAACCAGTCCCATACCCAGTGCGAGTAAATGTTGACAGACCATACCCCGTAGAAAAACCAGTGCCATACCCATTTTCCGTCGAAAATCCAGTGCCATACGCAGTAGAGAAGGCTGTGCCATACCCAGTTGAAAAATTTGTTCCATATGCTGTTGAAAAGATTGTTCCTTATCCAGTTAGGTACGATGTTCCTGTTAAAGTTTCAGTTCCAGTTGAAGTTAAAGTTCCAGTATCAGTGGACAGACCAGTCCCATACCCAGTAGAAAAGAGAGTGCCATACCCAGTTCAAGTTCCAGTTGAAGTTAAGGTCCCAGTCCCAGTTGCAGCTCCAGCTCAACGTTTCGCCACTGTCCACTATTATCAACAATCTCCAGTCGCTTTGGGATATGAATCAAGTGCTCTTTATGGTCAATCTGGTTACAAAGCTTTCTCATCTGGTTTAGCTCAAGGTTCTGGAAGTTCATTCTACAGTTCTTCTCCAGCGTCTGCTGGTGCATTCTACAGCTCTACTCCAGCGTCTGCTAGTGCATTCTACAGCTCTACGGCTAGCCCAATCAGCACATACAGTTCAACTGTCAGCCCAGCTGGATTCTACGGCTCAAACGTCGTCCAAGAAGGTTTCGTTGGTTCATCCGCCGCTCCATTCAGTTTCGGCCAACAATCTTTCTTTGGATCTTCGACACCAGCCCCATTCAACACTTTCTCCTCTGACTTAGCATCTTCTGAATTAAAGTCTGCTAGCATTGGATCTGCCAGTCTAGATTCGGTCGCTGTTGGAAGTGCATCTTTGAAAGCCACCAACTTTGACGTTGTCAAGAAATAAATCGTTGAAAACTTAAATTTATCTGATATGGAATTTTCATTATTTTAATGTTCATAGAATAATGGAAAAATGATCTATATTTTTTTTAGAAAGCCGTCATTTGTTTTGCAGATTGACGATTTCAATTATTAATCTGTAATATTTTAAAGAAGTAAAATAAAAAAAAATACGTGCAATTAACTAATTAAATGTATTTATTTCATATTATTCAATACAATGAATCAAGATAAATCTGTATGGTTTGAAATCAATTTAAATTGCTAAAAATATGTAATGAAAAGTAATCTTCGGAAAATTGATAAATATTTTCATTGCTTTCAACATAAGTAGATACATAGACTACCATTGTCCATTAGGGACTGTGTGAAAAAAAAATATAGATAATATACAACATACTAGCTGAATACCTAGAAATATTTTTATTGTGTACAAGAATATTTTGATATAATACAATGAAAAGTTATTTAAAATATACAACATTTAATACAAGTAATAGAATATAGGCCCAACGTGTAAATTATTTTTAATTTATTGGAGATAAATAAACAATGTGTTTTGCGTAAACATTTTTAGTTTACGTTAACCGTAGATGAATTATTGATAATACTGTTCACTCTTGCACCCCTTATCTATTTTTTTCAGCTCACTTGTAAGTTACTTGTTGTGCATTTTATATAATTAAGTCAATATTATATTTGATAACTTATATAAGTATATAATATAAATTCAGGCATAAGTATATGAATAAATATTCTAAGCTTTGAAACAGATATAATTTTATGCTGTTATAATATTGAATAAAAATAACTTTGAAGTTTATTTCATTAAAATTGATATACTATTAAATTGTCTAATGCAGCACATAGTTATGAGCAGAGAATGATTAAGAAATATTTAGGAATTGATGATAATTTATACTCAAATTTATGAGATTCGTTTAAAAATGGAAATAATTAAATTTCATACAATAAATATCACCTATTTCTAATACCAACACATAATATTCACCGGTGCATATAGTTTTTATAAAATATAATTATAACATTTCATAAATAAAAATGAAGGTATCATATGAGGAATTGTTGATTACCGAGGTCATTAATAAAATATTTTAAAGTATGAGACTAATATAATAGTTTTATAAATTTATATCAGTAAAATATTTAAGTGTCAATGTTTACTTAAATGCAACATTGGAAAAATGACACAAACATCTACAGGTTTTTAATATATATGAACTGCATATTATTTATTGGAAATATTATGTTAATTAAAAATAATAAAAGCATTAATTGTAGAAACTTGAAAATGTCCACGATTACCTACTTATATTTTCATTTGATTCATATAATAAAACTTTAGTTTTTATAACATTGAAGCTTAGTTTAAGTTAATATTAATAATATTTTAATTTTCGAATTTTTCAATGTTAAAAAATTATATTTTGAGAAGAAATGTTCGTCATAACGTGGTACAATAAGGTCCCATAAGTTGTTTTTTAAAATACTTTAAAAATATTAAAAATACATGGTCTCAATGTCTTTTTTTTAGCGTTTGAATTTCAAATTTCTACGAAATTAAATACACATATATAAAAAAATACATAAAATAATAAAATATATTATGATATTTAATGTATTTAAAAAATATTAATCAAAGAAACTTTGCCATTACTGTTATGACATTATATTCACATTAAATAAAAAAACATATTTCAAATAATTTTAATCTTTTTGTAATCACGAACCGGTTCACATAATTTTATAAAATGTCAGTATTTACTTATTATGAGTTATATACTTCGACAATTAGTTATAAGTTATGTGAATTTTATTTTGCAAAAATTGTCTGAATTTAACTACCAAATTAAGAAAGTACTTATAATAGTATTATAATATAAAATTTATAATTTTTTATCCTAACTACTTATACCTAGAAATACCTATATCTGATACAGTAATCTTCACTCACAACCGTTTTTCGTACTCAATATATTACTATGTTATGTTAATGAATTAAAATATAATACCTACATCCGTTACTTAATGACGAGATCTCCTTAGATGTGAATTAAAAGAAATTGTTGTAATTAATTAATATAAATTACCTATATGCAGGGTTGCATGAAAAATGTATTAATTTAACAGTCCAATAAAATTTAGCCGAATCATGGGTCACTACATCATGTTTTTAGGGCTATTAGCTCACTATTGATTCGTTAAATGTTTAGCGATTGTTCATGCAACCCGGCACTAGTATAATATATTGAACGATATGACTACCACTATAGCTTTCTTCCGTATTTCCATGTCTTAACAGTTTCAAATAAATATTTTCGTAAGCTCTGTAGACTCCATGATATTAGTTTTGGAAAACACTACACAATATCTATAGTGTACATCATTTTATTTTTGCCCAATTAATTAAGCTAAGTTAAGTCAAGCATTAATTTACAGTTTCAAATCTCTTTTTCATCAATAAATCGTGTGTAAGGGAAATAATTCTCAAAATATTTCTTATAATAGTTTGGAAGAATGTATGTTATTTATTAATATAATATTTGCATTTATTTACGATTTTGCTTAAATCACCCAGCGACGGCGGTTTAAATATCCTTTCAGTACTTTATCACACATTTTATTGTTAAAATTGATTATCAACTAACTTGATTTATTTGTTTAATAAACGTATATATTATAAAGTCTGTGGCGTATAGCAATAACAATATAATATAATAATCAATAATGTTTCATTTATTATTTTCTTTAGATCATTTCTGCTCAGAACCGTTGTAGACTGGGAGCTACTAACGGTTTAACTTTATCTATTTTAGCTTTCTTGGTTTTTTTTTTATATCATTGAATCAGGACTCGTGAATGCAAATAATACAATGAAAATATTGACAGAGCTACAGAAGTCTAAAGAACAGTGATTACTGAATTAACCAGCTGTATTATTGTTTATTTTCTGTAGTTTAATAATCATCGATAATTTCTACACAAAATGGAAGATCGTGTTATTTAATGGCTTGGGTCTTAGATAGTAAACCTACCACAGTACTACCACTATTTAATATTTGCTGTAACCGCAGACTACAACTTCTATGATCTACAATCGAAAACTGGCGAGCCTAATCAATAGTGGGCTCAATATAACCACATATTTGGCTGATGTCTCACTATTCTTTTTTTATTGCTTTAAAATACACTTTGGGTTAGGTATGGACGTGTGGTTTTCTGATGTCGAAGGGAGGCACTATTCGTATATATTATGTATTATTATTCATTATATATCATGTTGGTTAATGATTTTTAAATTTTATTAACATTTAAAAAAAATATAATAATCTATAATTTATAATCTTATACTTACTACAGTAGACTTTTCCAACCTTATAACTATGGTGACCACCCTGAGTATTAATTTTTTTAGCGATCCTTAAATATAGATATATCATATATTTTAATAAACAGGACAAGTATTATAGATTGGTATTGAAAATAAATATTTGTTTTCCAATAATTACAAAACATAAAGCACAGATATCATAATTTGTTTACCTGTTAAAACTGTAAATTTATTTTATCATAAATGTATGCATAATAAATCTTTAAATATCAATAATCATTCTTAAATTAAGATTCTTAATGGCTGTTTGATGTTAATGATCTGAAATGGTCCTGTCTATTCTTGGCTTAATATAATTTGATAAGCTATAGTTATCATAGCTGTAGAACATGATATTTTTATTTATTATTGAGTTTTCTAATTCATTGTATTGATTTAAATCATATGTTGGTGACCCAAAATAATTGGTTGGCAGCCCTCACGTTGAAGAACACTTTATTAAAATACTTACTAATTTTTATAATATTTATTGACATTTATTGACATTAATTGTAATTGTAATTTTTGAATTTTTTTTTCATACCTACCTAAAAATATATATATGGTATACATATTTATTATTTATAATATATTTTCTTTTTAAAAATGTATATTTTGTTCTATTTTGTTTCTATTTTGTAATATCTAATATTATCTATACCATATTTCAAGGTTAGGTTAGAATTTTGTAGAGTATCTACTATTTTTCACACATTGATATAATATGTTATGAAAGGCTATTTTAAAATGGTACTCATTCAATAATCATATTTTGTGTCAAGTGCACTAGTAATTGTTTCGGCATAAGTTATTATGGTAGGTATACATTCTATGCACCTACCTATTTCACCATAAGGACGATGGCAGTACCTAAATTCCTCTCCTGCAATATTTGAGTAGTTTACAATAAGTTCAATTTTTAATATCGATTAATATTGCTGTAGGTATTTTATATTTTATTCTATGTATTAACTTTTAAAATATAATGCGTATGTTTAATTTTGCTTTATTTATTGAAAAACTTCACGATTTGTTTATAATCAATAATTCATAATATGTTTGAATTTGATTTTTTGAAATGCCAATGTCTAATTTAAAATTTTTAAGAATTTTTTTAGGCTCTGCACACATTGTAATCAAGTAAGTATAGATAAATTACAAATTAATATGATATACGATAAAAAATACAACTGTTATTAAACTTGTATGAATAGATATTATTTGGGAACTCGATTTGTCTTCATATTGTTCATCAACAAATGTTGTAGTTTCTTTGGGGTCATAAATTTCATATGTTACTGAAGTGCTTATCTCAGTTGTAGTAGATGTGGTGTCCGTAGCGGTCGTCGTTGTATTTGATCCATAATCGGATATAGTTGTATTTGGTTCTATGGATGACTGACTCGTGGAAGAAGTAGGATTTATTGTAGTTATTGGTGTGGTATCGTGATAAGTCTCTGATGTAAAGCTTGTTTCTGACGTTGGTTTAGTTCTATCAGTGTCTATGGTACTGGGTTGATCTGAAAACTGGGTACTTTCTGTTTCTGCTGGTGCTGTTGGTTTTTTAGTTATAGCCGTTGTGGGAGATTGAGTAGTAATAGGCAATTCCGAATATGGTTCGTCTTCCGTGACTTTTGTGGTTGAAGATTCAGTAACAGGTTCAATATCTTCGGAGTATTCTGTTTCGTCAGTATATTCCGTTTCTTCGGTATATGCCGTTTCCTCAGTAGATTCCGTTTCTTCAGTATATTCCGTTTCTTCGGTATATGCAGTTTCTTCAGTAGATTCCGTTTCTTCAGTATATTCAGTTTCTTGGGTTTCTTCTGTTTCTCCAGTTATAGTTGTCGAAGGAATCGAACTTGTAGTATATTTCTCTGTGGTTGAAGATTGAGGAATAGAAGGTTCAGAGCTAGGTTTATCCGAGGTTTCTTCAGTTTCTTCGGTATATTCCGTTTCTTCGGTATACGCCGTTTCCTCAGTAGATTCTGTTTCTTCGGTATATTCTGTTTCTTCGGTATACGCCGTTTCCTCAGTAGATTCTGTTTCTTCGGTATATGCCGTTTCTTCAGTAGATTCCGTTTCTTCGGTATATGCCGTTTCCTCAGTAGATTCCGTTTTTTCAGTATATTCAGTTTCTTTGGTTTGTTCTGTTTCTCCAGTTATAGTTGTCGAAGGAATCGAACTTGTAGTAAATTTCTCTGTGGTCGAAGATTGAGGAATAGAAGGTTCAGAGCTAGGTTTATCCGAGGTTTCTTCAGTTTCTTCTGTATATTCTGTTTCTTCTGTATATTCTGTTTCTTCGGTATATGCCGTTTCCTCAGTAGATTCCGTTTCTTCAGTATATTCAGTTTCTTTGGTTAGCTCTGTCTCTCCAGTTATAGTTGTCGAAGGAATCGAACGTGTAGTTAATTTCTCTGTGGTTGAAGATTGAGGAATAGAAGGTTCACAGCTTGGTTTACCTGAAGTTTCTTCGGTTTCCTCTGTTGTCCCATAAGTTGGTGTATCTTCAGTAGCTTCTGAAGCTTCATAGGCTTTTATTGTGTTTTCTGTTGCCGTAGAATTTGTATCGGATAAAAAATTATTATCGAATACAATATTGTTTGCATATTTTTCTGACGTTTTATTTGAAGTTATTGGGCTGATTACATTTTGGATCCAATTTGTGTACTTCAAAATATTATTAAATATCTTAGGTTCATTGAGTGAGTATATGCCATATAGATGATTATTACAGACCAAAGGAGTTCCATTATCGGTTATCTAGAAAACAGGTGTGATAAAAATAATTTATATAAATTTGCTACACCTAGCAAGTACGATATTCACTATCGTGAACACTCTATATAGTAGCGTGTAAACTTATTCTTAAATTTAAAATTGATTAATAATATTAATATTATTACTGTCTCATTTATTGTAAAACAAATATTAATTTTCTCAATTTTACACAGTTTTAATCAAAATAATAATACATTAATTGAGCCAATAGTGTCATTATTGCACGGAAAATAATTTAAACTTACATGAAATTAAGCTGCAATTAAAATGATTTGCAAAAAAAAGTTAAAATTAATTGTTTAAAATTTCAGTTGATAAGTTTTTCAACTTAATGATCAATTAAAATTTTAAATGTATAGAAAACCATTTATACACCCATGATTTACTTGGTATTGTATAATACTATAATATAATAGTATACATTAATTTTATTAAACTAAACTATAAATCTAAAATACCTACTATCTAAGCAGATAAGTAAATAATATGATAAATATACAATAGCAAGTTTATTTTATAAAATGTATTATTGTTTTCATATAATATAATATATATAATAACAATCAATTGCGTATTTTAACCTTTGTATGTTATTTAGTGCAAAGATTCATTTCTTAAAATTATTTTTTTTGAAAACCACATCGTTGCTGTGTGGGTAATTGTTCAAAATAATAAATAATGTATGAGTTTGTGTTGAATTTTATGAATATTATAAATATAATTGCTATTTCAAACTACGAAGACTTACGTTCTGTAATGAATTCCATATTTGTGAATGACAAATCGTGTCTTCTAAGTACCATTCGCTCTTATCATGTGGTTGTTTTAAAATATTTACCACGTTCCAATATATGAGTGATAAATCGTTGTTTGACTGTTTTTGAAAACTGGTCACAACGCATTCAGTATTGTTCGAAAGTTGATTTTCAGTGGCCAATTCGATGGGCGCTACCATATTAGTGACAATAATGGATTTTTCCATCTATTGCATAAATTATGAAAAAAACGTAAGAGTGGGGAAAAATATTTTAAGATAGTAGTAATCTTAAACATTGTACCTCAATTAATGCCACATCGTTGTATTTTGTTTTTATCACTTTTCTCGGCTTCAGAATGATTTCATGAGTTATATTATTTCGCATCGCAATATCTATACCATTCAATGGAATGTTGTCTACAGTCCTAGAAATAAAAATTAAAGTCCATTTAGTAATTGATAATTATACTATAATAACTTTATAATTTTAAAGTGAAGATTCAACAAATTAAATACCTACTTAAGGCAATGCGCAGAGGTTAGTATCCAGTTTACATCGATCAATGTGCCTTGACATAATATTTCTCCATTTGAAGGCGTTCTAAGGAACACCTAAGATCCGAAAACATAAAAATTCCATCATATTTCAATGTATGTAAAAAATACGAAAATCAAAGTACTTACTATGTAAGGGAATTGTTCGTTTTGCGCCCGTGTAGGTGGTGAACATTTTTTTTCATTTTGTAAAGGGTTTGTGCTCGATTCTTAAAAATAACATTTCATTTTTTAGAATTATTAGGGAGCTAAATTGTTATATATTCAATTTGACATTTGTGTATGAATCGTGAGAAATGTCCAGTGATTAGATCTGGTTTTGCAGGGAATAAGTCACATATTCCTTGTTGATTTTAAAAATATGAAATACCTATAAAATATTTTTGTTAGGCTTATAATAAATAGTAATTTCTATATAGGTATCGAATTCATATTATATAAATGTAATATAGGTATTAATTTATTAAAAATAAAATTTTTATACTTATAATAATCATTTTAAGAATACCCGAATACATTTTAATTTTTAAAAAATACTCTATTATTCTATTCAGTTTTTGTAGTTTACAAACGCGATTATTAATGAATATAATTTATCTCTACTCCTAAATATTATTAAAACGATAGTAATGTACAGTTTTAAAATAAACAAGTCTACATTTACTTGATGATGCATTTAATTTTAAATACTATATATAATTTCACTGGAAGATAACATAATAATAATACAAAATGAATATTTATTTTAGGTACTGTCAACAGTAACTAAAGTGTCAATAAAATCAAATAAAAAGTACGCTATACATTTAAAACAAAAAAATACCTAATTAGTTTGAAAAACTTATTGTTTGAAAAATAGTTGTAGTTCAATATTTAATTAATCGTTAGCTGATGAAAAAAACATCAGAGCTGTTACGGCAGGATGTGTTCAAGTTTAATAGAACACATGACATTTTAAGTAGTTAATATTATTACTCACTTACCTTTAAGCATCAAGAAACAGAATAAAATAATTTGAATATATTTGAACTTGTCCATGTTTAAACAAAATAAAAAAGTACTGTACATTATGAAATTTAAGTTTTAATTTACAGTAAAAGTGATTACTTAACACTAAGGTGTGCGAGTTGACACCTATTGGCAATCAATAGATTACAATTTTTCACATGTTTAGTATCAATAAGATAATTCTATGAGCACTTCACTCTCTTGAATTATCATCATATGTGTACAATTATGAGGACATGTACTGAACCATGTTAAAACAATATAAATTATTTAATTTTAATCGAAGGTTGACTACGAAAAACAAGTGGGTACTTCAAATTATTCCGATTGTTCTAATGATCATCACATAGGTTAATAATAATTAAAAAAACCTATAGTGTACTATCTACAAACCTAGTAAGTATGAGAATATCATATATATTGGTCAGTAATCTATTGTTTTTATTCCTTGCGAAGAATTTTTTATAAACAATAAACGACAAAAAACTTGTCAGTATCATGAAAAAAACATTTTAACGATACTTTTTAAACCTAAAATATTCAATGGAGTTTTTGAATGATCAATAAACTGGGTTAGATCAATTTTAAGATTATTTTGTACATGAGATTTATATAGGTATATAGACAAATAATTCTATTATACTACGATAATTAATTTCAAAAATTAATACCTGCCCATAACTATAATACAGTATGCACTTAATATAATTATAAAACAAGAGTGTATTATATTATTATCTTTAAAAAAATGTATATTATTTATCTTATTATATATTTATATAGTTCACAAAAAAAACTAATAGTGTATTTTTTTTTGAAAAAGTTTCAAATAAACCAAAATATGTGGGTGTATTTATTATACACCTATATGATAATATGATATACAATATTTACTATTTACCCATCTATATTGAACAGATGAAGTAAAATCATGTGTAATCATTAGTCATGATTCTAGACTAATATAAAGATCCATTAACAGTCTCAACTAATTTTCCACATCAATTTGTGTACTTATTAATTTAAGTATTTATAACACCGTATTTTTTTTCAAATATGTAATTTTAACAATATTCATTTTTATTATCATGTAACAATATATATTTTTAAAGTCATGTGCTAGAAAAAAAAATGATTTTCTACAAAATGTTGACCCAACACTTTACGACATTAATTATTTAAGTTAATGAAGTTAAATTTTTTTTATTTATAAAGTTTCGAATATGAGATGTAAAATATGAGTTATTTTATATTTGAACAAGAAAAAAAATCAGAAATCTCTTATGACAGAAAATATTTAATAATTAGATTTCCATTCAAACATGGTGTACCTATATAATTAATATTTAAACGATTTACCTAAAACGATTTTTTTTTTCAAAACTACGAATTTTATTAGAGCTGTTTCAGGGTGTTATAGAAAATAGGAAATCGTCAATTTTCATAAAAATAAAAAATATTAAATTGTTTTAATGTACACAAAATAATTATTATATATATAGTTACAAGTCCTTAATTATAATTAATAAACCTATTAGATAGCACATACAATTATGTAGTAGGTATACGTAGTTTGTTTAAGTTACTCAAACTACTTACAAGCAAATAAGGCACAACTAGAATACACAAGTTTTCGAATAATCGAAGTTCAAACAATAATAATAATAATGATAATAATAATATATATTATAGTATTCACTGTACTACATCAGCTATATTTATATACACTTAATCGTTATGGAAGAATAATGTAATTTTGTTGTACATGAAAATTTCTTAAATATAACAATAATATTACATACCTATATAGTTTTATAATCTATGACATAGATTCTATGTAATAGGTATAGTGTTTCTTATCTAAATACAAAAATAAATAAATAGCTTATATTAGTTTCCTTTGGACGAGTAATACTGAACGATTACAGTTCCAATTGAAATGTACACACACTACACACAAATATATAAATGTATAATTCCTATAATAATAATTGTACCTACATAACATAAATCAGTAATAAAAAATTAATAAATCAAAGTATTTATGTACATAAAAATTGTTATTTTAGACCTTATAAATATCGATTCGTAATTCTTGTAATATAATCTTGACATTTTTAACAGATCGTCTCTACGAACGTTCTTGTCATGTCATAATTCTCGACGACGTTGATTTGTACGAAACCATGATCGTCTATCGGTAATATTATTCATCGTTTGTGAATCCCTACCGTGGGTGTTTCAGAAGATGATCTCACGCCTGTACATCGAAAGGCGGCAATGCACTTGGAGCGAACACGTCTTATGCACACGAATTATTTGAGGAGACATGAACGATTTGAAGCAAGTCGTATCAGATTCATTCGAATTCAGTTTGATACTCGTACGTGTCAAACTGAAACCTCCTGTGTCAGTTGATAAAAGGCGGAAGTGGCGTGAACGGTGGCTCAACTTTTATCGCGGTCTCCTCTTCCCCGTCTTCTTCTATCTGCTGCTGCTGCTGCTGTTGCTGTTGCTGTTGTTGTTGCTGTTGCTGTTGATGCTGATGTTGTTGGTGATCCTGGACTTCGTATCCCATGGTCCCGACTATGTCACACTCGACGTCCGGCTGAAGGAGCCCTGCCATGTCCTGGCTCATCACGTATGAGTCGACTACGTGCTTGTTGAGTTGATGCCCGTGATAGTCGCGGTCGGGCGGCGATTGGTCCAGCGGACCCATCATGTCCTGCCGGGCCAAGCACTGCATGCTGGCCGAGAACAGGCCCGGGCTGTCTTGTGGCTGGACGGCGTACGGCGTGCCGCCAAAGTTGTTATTGTTGTTGTTGCTGCCGCTGCCGTGGAACGCGTTCTGACCGAACGGCGACGACCCGTTGCTGTTGAGCAGGTTTAGGTGAGCGAGGTCCCCGTAACCGGCGGCACCGTATCCCCAGGGCTCGGAGCCGCTGAGCGTGACCGGCGAACACGTGCCCAACGAGGGCGACACGTTACCACCGAACGTCGTCAGTGTGGTGAACGACGTCGAGCTCACAGACGATCCCGGAGATCCGGACGGGAAAACTGTAACATAATAGTAATATTACGATGATAAGACTGCAAACGTCAAGGATCGCTCGTCTTGTCGATAAGCACTTCCGAGAATACCAAATGGTTATGTTTCAGAGGGGTGGTTGAGAGGACGCCACACCCACGCGTGTTGCTTTCGTTGTGCAACAACGTAAAAAATATTGCACAACATTTGCGTTTAGCCTGATTAACTTTGTATATTGTTAATTTTAATATGAGAGGGGATTGATCTGTTTTTACGCCTATAAATAGATAAGAACATTATTTGTGTTTGTATTCAAATATTGGATTCCATATAGTATTTTAATTTTCAAGGAAATCTTATGAATATCCATTTATACAATTTGCTAGTCTCTGGACATCACATAATGCAAATAATAAGCAAAAAGTTAAGAATACTCGAGTAATAAATTTATTTTTGAATTATTAATCTGCATATTTTTAATTATTAGCTTATACGTAATTAATATTTTCTACTAATTGTATTATAATATACCACTGTTCATAGTACACTTGATACTAAGTTTTATAAAATAGCGTTAATTATTTTCTGATAATTTGAGCGAGAATAAATGTATGTATTACTAGCTGTATTCTAGAATACACTTACCGGAATTGGTCAAGTAAACGGTTTTCCTGGGTGGCTCCCTTTTCCGCCACTTGGCTCTCCGGTTCTGGAACCATACCTGAACTCTAGACTCGCTCAGCTTAAGGTTTAAAGCTAATTCTTCTCGGGCGAACACGTCGGGGTATGGAGCTCTCTCGAACGCTCGTTCCAATTCCTCCAATTGATGAGACGTGAATGTTGTCCTGCAGAAATGCATGCAAACAATAAAGTGATATTAAATAAAACGGTATTGTACAATTTACAATAAATCATAGTGATATTAGTTGGAAATCATGTTCTACCGGGTCGTTTTAAGATATTATACTTAAAGTGGTGGATAAAATATTTCAAAAAATAAAGAAATATATTATATTCTATAAAGATGTTAAATAATAATATTACTCAAGATATTTTATGAGCATACTGACCTCGTCTTTTTCTTCTTCGTCCCGTTGTTATCTGTGTTTTTCGATTTTGAACTAGATTTCTTTGGCACCGGTTGTTCAGTCGGTAGTCCTGTAAACAGAACAAACGATTTGATTTATTGACGATGAGGTAAAACGAAAACTGGTAAAAGAAACATTTGTGCTTTGTATAGTATTCATTCCCAATAAAACGGGCTTTTAGCATTGAAATGTTTAAATTTTTTTTACAGAAAAAAGAATATTCAGCAATGAAAAACTATCATGTTAATCTTAATTCTTTCTTCTTATTTAACTAACTCGTATTTTTATTTTTATTTAAAAAAAATATCTTATTATTCTTGTATCCTGCATTCGTTATTGTTTCAATACTGCCTTAAAACAAATCAATATTTCTTGATTTTGTGACTTCATACACCCGCATATTATTATAGTCACGTGAAGTTTAAAATATGATTTACCTGAAGACTGTTGGCCGGTGGTCGGCAACGGGTTCGCGTCCATTTCCAACTTGATGGCGTGCTTCTGTCCGTTGGCGTTGACGACGATGTCGGCCGGCTGCACCTGTACGGTGGACGTGACCGGCATCTGAAACAAGTCCTGCGGATCGCCGATCTGTACCTGCCTGTCCTGCTGCTGCTGCTGCTGCTGCTGCATTTGGTCCTGGACGCCGTGATGGTGTCGGTGCATGTCCATGTCCTGGAGCTGGTGATGGTGGTGGTGGTGATGGTGCTGCAAGTCCATGTGGTCGGGCACGGGCAGCGCGTATCCCATCATATCACCCGGCTGTTGGAACGCCAACAGCGGCTGGTGCTGGTGGTGCGCGGGCGGTGACCCGGGCTTGGTCTGGTGGTGATATTCGTTGAACATCATCGACTCGTCGAACGCGCCTTCGTCCATGGTGTCACGTGAAAACCCGTCGGCGGTTGTTATTATTAGGCCCGGCGTATTCGTTGTGTATAATTGCGGTAATCACAGGCCTGCGTCCACACGCACACGCACGCGTCGCGACGACGAGAGACGGGAGGCGGCGGCGGTCCTCCGTGAGCGGTGGTGGCGGCGGCGGTGGAGGGACGGTTAATTTCTGTTGATTGTCTACAATTGAAGCGGCGGCGGTGGTGGCGACGACGACGACGGGCTGAATTATAGGACCTAATATTATTATATTAAATAAACTTCGTTTAAGGGCAATTTAAAAAAAGCGAACCAGGTTTTAATAGCAGTCGGGCGCGCACGACTTGGAGCATTCGCGTAGTCGCTGCTCCTCCGACGCGGGTGAGTAGCTCGTTCGGTCTCTTCGGAGACGCAATCGGAAAACGAACGGGAAAACGAAAGCCAATAAATACGAATTGCCGACGCGTATAAACGACGTTTGTATTAATTATTGTTATTATTATTACGATGATAAAATGTATCCTCGCGGCGACGACTTATATTATATTTTAAACGGCGATGGGAACGCGTGTGGCCGCTGCGGTGTACGTCGTGCTCGGACCGTGTGAAGTTCAAAGTAAAAACATACCGTGTGCCCGATGTAAGTTTTCGCGTTCGACGGGACGTGCGTGCATATATGCGCGTGTACGTGGGCTGCGACCAATAGGGGCTTTTGGGAGTGGTGGCCCGTCGACCAATGCGACGCGCGTACACATAGCTAGGTATAATACAGCTCGCGGGGACCGTAGTCGTCCCTTCGACCATCACACGCACACGCGCACACACACGCGCGCACACGCGCACACACACGCACACACGCACACACGCACACACACACTTATGCGCACACGCGCACGCACGCACTCGAGCAAACAATATATTATTATTGTATTGTACCGACACGATATTAATATACAGTGTCACTGCGCAGACGGAAATAAACCCGTTCGGAAGATATTAACATAATAATATATACCTACGACGAGTCGACGAAGCACAAAGTTAGGTATACGCGATAACACTGTGCAAAATATTAACAATAATAATAATAATAATAATAATAATAATACAATCAACGCAGTTTTCGAAGATCAGAGTAATAGCGTATTGGAGGACGTATACTAAATACATCGTCTCATTCGTCTCCGTCCATCGTCTTCGTTAATAATAATTTAGCATAGCAAAAGCTCACTAAAAATCGCGGCTTGTAGGTTAATATTTGAGTTTAAACAGTTTAACCATATCGCTCAATTCGAAGGATAAGTAACTTCGAGATAGTGTCATTCATGCCATCACTCATGCCCACACCTCAGTAAAATAGCGTGTATGGAAGAAGTTTTGGGTTTAACGTTTTATTTAGGTGTAGTAATTATATTAATGTATAGTTACATAGGTATCGGTACTGGGTATACTATAATTATTGCATCTTTTTCCTAAGACAATATTTTACAAAATACAGACATTGTCTTGAAAATATTCTGCTATTTCAATTTAGAAATTTGGAAGTTTAAATTATTATGATATTAATTTTAATGTCAAAATTTAGATTTTGAAAAGTGCAAATATGCTATACTGCAGTTAGTTAAACAGAGATAGTATATTATTGGTAATAACTAATAACTAATACAATAACATCACTCCCTCAAGCGTAATATTATATTTTCATGTTTGACGCGTAAACAAGAATTTTCTTTTACATTTTCAATCAAATTAACTTGATGGGGCCAATGGGGGTGAGTTTTTAGTATATTAAAATATATTTATAATTTATTTGTTTGTGTGCTCATACCCATCATACTTAAACATGTTTCTCTAAAAATGATTTATTTAAAACTCTTTGAAATTACATAATATATTGGTATAGGTACCTACAAAAATATTTGAACTTAAAGATTTTATATTTATGTAATATATTTTGGTTTAGACTTTTGATACACAATCTATTTCGATAATTTGTATTAATATACCTAATAATATGTGATAGGCTTATCGTATCCAATTTTTGTTACACTGGCAGGAGAAATATTATAAAGTACTTACATAGTTATATTTATTAAAAATGGCATATAATATAAATACTTTAAATATTCAAAAATTATCCGAGCATAATGTAAGTAGGTACTTAAGAATAAAATATTTTGCGTCCATTTTATATTTAGTGTAAAATCAGGAGTATTTATCCTCAGTACTTACACAAAACATGGAACTTAAAACTTATTCTCGTCCAAACTGCGATTTGGATGAAATAACAAAAAAAGATTAATTTGTTTTTCAATTTACAGTAAAAAGGGTGTAGTTTTTATTTGAAAAAAAAAGTTTTCATGACTACAGGGCACCCCATAAATGGTATAAAAATATAGATTTCTATCAAAAAATATGGTTTTTAAAGCTTACATAGGAAATAGGTATCAACATGTTGAATTACATGCAGGTATGTAAGTTTATACTTAACAAAATATTTTAATTCAAAGTAAATTTCATAGGATTCATATTAAACATATACCTACCTACAGAGTTTCAAAAAATTGTCCGCATACTTACTTGATTTATTCCAATTTTTAAGTGAAACTATAGATATTATATTTATATACGAAACCATAATAATATGCTTGTTGAGTATACCTAAACCGTGCAGTGAACATGAATGCTAACTATGCTAAGGATAATTAATATCAATGTGTTGTATGTATACATAAAAAATTATAAAATATTAAAATGTTCAGTCATCAAAATTGCAACTATACTACATAAGGCGACGTATGCGACGGGAGCGGGGCTGTTTGAGTCGATTCGTTTTCTTTGTAGTAGCTAACGACGAGTATTTTTACGTGTTCTTTTATTATTTGTCTTTGAAATATTTTTATCATATTTAATTCATTATTTTAACAAGGTGTTATTTATGTTTTTCTTTACTATATTATTTTAAAATATTTTTTTACTTGTGGGCATAGAAACGTTTTTGGTGAATAACACTTATGTAAAAGGTAGCACTAGACACTTGTACATACTTTCTCTTCCAGTACTTGTTATTGTGGTCAGTCGAAAAAGAGTAAGACTTTGTCTAGGTTAAAGAGATCTCACCCTCCAACACCTAGTACTTGTTATCATGGTCAGTATTGTTCGAGAGTAAATTAACATTAGAGTTGTAAAGTGTAAATCCTGATGGACCTTGTTTAATTATCTTTTTGTGGAGTACTCGTTATTGTGGTCACCAAAAGAAGAACTTAAATAAGCTCATACTGCAGGTATCAATAATTTGCTTGTTCGACTGTTTGGGAATCGAAAACCAAAATATATCCGTTATATACGTCAAGTCGTTGGGTGGCGTATAATGTTTTTGATTTGAAAAGGATATAACCTATATATCCAGTTAATAAACTAAAAATATATCCACAATACTAATAACTAAATATAATTTATCACATTATCATACTATTATATTATGTTTCAGTTAATATTTTATAAATATTAATTGCATTGATTAGCTTTATAATTTTATTCATTGGCTTTATTTTTATTTTTTTTAAGTGAAAGAGTATAATATAATTATAATTGTAGTATAATATAATTGGGTCTCATGATAAGTAAAACATTTTTTTTTCATTTGATTCAGCCTAATAATTATGTTGGAAAATTTAAGCAAAGAAATATATTAGGTATATAACTATAACCTACATCTCACCTGGCATTGAAAAAATGTAAACAATTATAAAAAAAATCTATCACTTTAAAAAGCATAAATAAATAATAAAAAATTTGAAATTCTGCACTTCATAATCGGTATCATAGCCCATAGGCACAATTCGTGGTGGAGGATTTAATGGACTGAGCCCCTAACATTTTTATCAGGAAATATATAATCCAGAATACCTACTCTATTTTTACGAGATGACATTTTATGTTTTTTAATTTTTAATACATTTTTTTTGATAATTAATTTGAAAATTCCTAAGGGCTTTAGACAAATATATCAGCCAAACTCCGAAGTTCTTGAACAGTTGAGTTTCGAAGGCAATGTAACATCACAGTTATATAATCTCGAAAAATTTGACCTAACTAATACATTATATGTATTATGTACAATTACAGCTTATGAATATTTATACTGAGGGTTTAAAGGTATTAAAAGTTATACTATCATTTTATCGAAAATTTTTAACTTTTTCGAAAATGTAATTTTACATAATTTTAAATCATACTTTAATAGTAATATTTGTCTTTTAGTAACAGGATACAATTTTAATTTTATATTCTGAAGTTAATTGTTTTCTGAGGTTTAAAATAATACAGGTATATAAAGTACTTTTTATCATTGTGCTATACATTTTTTTCTTGTAAATTTGCTATGTTAAATTAGTTGTTAATCGTTTATTTTATTTTCTTCTTTATATATCACTATAGAGGCTGTAACTCAATCTAATCAACTTATTGTATATTTTATAAGGTCATATAAGTATTTAAATCGAATTTTTAACAAGTGCCTATTTAATTAATTTAAAGTATTTAAAGTTCAGATGAGTGAACTAGAGAACCAATAACTGGCGGGGTATCCTTAGAAAGTTAGAACCATTATAATTAACTGGTAGCTACTTATTAACTTTATACTCACTCAAAATTTGATTTCATATATATTGAAATAATATATACGAAAATTCGGTTATAATTGCAAGTTTGGTTATACGCCAATGCATAAAAAGAACAAATTATAATTACTTTTATAAATAAGCAATGGTGATTCATTGTATAATATGTGTGTGAGATACGTATATTAATAGAGACCTTTGTCGAGGAAACCCAATACTCCGATCGTCATTGTGCGGGTATGGGGGGGGGGGAGGTTAGAGAGGCGATCAGATAAGTAAGAAACATATTATGACATCCGTATTGCTTCCGGAAGTCAATATCCCGACTAAAACGACGGGGTGCGAAATCTGCAACGCTAACAAAAGTGCCGAACGGTGCCTTTTCTCGCAAATTTACCTCAAAATCGGCGTGTTTATCAAATTTGTGTAACGGGTCGAGCAAATTTTTTTTTAAGAATTTCGTCTAGAACCGCTGTGTGGCCTTACCATGCAACGACCCTCCATGCACACACGTTGCTCGGCCGTAACGGAGTGCACCATATTATATTATACGCTGAGTGGCATAATAATATACATACATTGTCGCACACACATAGACCTTTTAACACTGATGCGGAGGGTGATTAGCCTCGAAAATGCGGGACGATTATTACGGAAGCCCTTATTATTATTGTTATTGCTTTTTTTTCATCGTCATGCGCATAATATATTATACACGACGTGTTACCGTACGTACGCTCTGCGTGCAGTGCCCATGTGCAGTATACGTATATATAAAATAATACGGCCGATGCGATCGTCTCCGTGATAAACGTCTGTTCTCGCGTCGATTCCCATCACATTGTGTATAATATATAAGTGGTAAAAATACAATATAATATTATTGTTATTATTATGTATACACATTTCCGACGACGAGTGTCCAGGCGACATTAATGCACTATACCCCTGCGGCGCTGCACACCGTTTTGGAAAAGCGGGTAATTTAACACGCAAAAGTCACGGCCCCTCTCATCACACGCCGCACACGACCGCGGTATATACCTATA